TGTGCTGATGCTGGAGCAGCACATTGCGTGTGTGTGCGCGCGCGCGAGTGCAGAGTTTGCGAAACACCCGTTGTTTCATCGGGACAGTTATCGTCTGGTTTTTTCTTGTTTTCCCCCTTTTGTGTACGGTTTGCGCTGCTTTTGATTTTTGGTCGTGGCGCAACGCGCGCTTTGGTAAGCGGGGCGCGTTTGTCGTTGTGCTCCAGGGGTGGAGGGAGGCAGGGCTGCCACGGCCACTTTGGTTTTCCTGGCGTCGTGCCCACGAGAATTCACCATAAAGCCCTGAAATGTTGTACGCCGCCCCCTCCCCATTCCTGAGATTCCTGGTGTGGCAGTGGTGTGGCGGGCACCGTGTGCTGGCAGGCCGTGGCGCGGTGTTCCGGGAAGCTAGAAGTTTTACGAAGCCTTTGAGGAACATGTGGCGACCAGGGCAGCCAGGGCAGACACCAGGGCCTTGCGCGGCTGTGTCCGGAGGGGAGGAAGATAGCTTTGAGGGAGATAGGCGGCTGATAGGCTCGTGTGACGACGACGACGACAACGTGTCGGAAAGCAGCCTGCCTGAGCCGCGCTGCGGACGGACTCGTATTGTAGGCAACAGGCGAACGCGTAAAGGTACTATAAGGTTGTTGTATTGAAGCTGATTGGTCGGCCGGCGTTCGCTCGATTTGTCAAGTCAAATCTGGGGGAGGGGAGGGGGTTTACTGCCGGCACTGCCACGGCACTGCCTGGCTCTGGAGTGTCCAAGCGAACGACCCCGCACACAAAGAAACAGATGTGTACGCAGACAAAGAGGAGCCTGGTGGGGCGGCAGGGCCCGACGGCGAGAGAGAGATGAAAGTCTAGAGAGGTTGTGGTCGAGGTTTCAGTGCGTCTTCCCCTGGCCGGCTCGCAGTGCTCGCAGTGCCTTGACCCGGACGTGTTGTGCTTCGGAAGTCCGCCCCCAAATTCGATTAGCGTGCGTGTGGCTGTGTGCGTGGAATTGGCCTGGCAGCGTGCCACTACTCGCCGCGACGCGCCGCGGGCGAATGAATGCGCGACCGCCGCGACAGCTAGCATGCAAACAGGCCCGACGGCAGTGCAGTCGCGCCAATTATTTTATTTTTAAACGAGCCTGTACACGGCGAGTCAATTTTTATCCGGCAGGTTGTGGAACTCCAGGGCCGTTGGGAAAAAATGAAAAAGAGCGGCGGCCGGGGTATAAAATGAAAATAAAAGCAGCGCGCAGGAAGGGGGTGGGGGTGACAGGGGGCACCAGGGGAGCCAGGGGAACCAGGGGGCCCGGCAACGTTGGCAACCCTGCCGGAGACGTCTGGCCGGCCCAGCCGGCCCAGGAAAAATAAGCTCCAGACAGGTGCGGCGTTGCCGCTGTGCCTCCTCGCCGGCTTGCCCATGGCTTGCCCGACGCCTTTGTCTGCAGGCCCTGGGCTTCCAGGCCCTCGAGGCCCTCCAGGCCCTGGGCCCGGCCCTACAGGGCCTGCTGCAGCACGTCCAGGCCGCCCGTCCAAGGGCGGAGCGTGGCGGCGGGCGCGGCGGTGGAGCGTGGCGCGGAGCGGAGGCCCTCGACGGGAGCCTCAGTCCGGAGGCCTCGGTCCGGGGGCCCGGGACCAAGGGGGTGTCTGGGGCGACAAGGTCGCTGTGCAAGTGGCGCTGCAGCGCTGCACATCGAATGCCGCCGGTTCTCACGTTTGATTGTGTCACTAGACTCCAGCGTCGCGGCGACTGTGGGCTCGTCGGGACGGCCCGTCGGGACGGCGGCCCCGCGCCTCGCTCGCCTCGCGCGCCGCGCTGGGCGGGCCAGGTCCAAGGCCAAGGCCGCGTAGAGCGCGGAGCCAGGCCGCGGAGCCAGGCCGCGGAGCCACGGCGGGGACTGCTGGCGTGATCGGCGACGGGACCCGACGGGACCCGCGCAGCGCGCTGCTCGGCCGTCGCCAAGTCTCGTGTTCGAACCCCGGCCGCCGCCGCGGTTTTGTGTACAGTGGCGCTTTGCTGGGCCGCGGCGGCGACTCAATCAAGCCCAACGAGCTGGCCAATGGGTGCGCCGCGCCTGCCGCGCCGTTGGGCCCACATGCAGTACAGTACACTGCACTGCGCGCCATCCGCCACTCTATCTCTGCAGGGCTCGTCGCCTTATCGGCGTCGCGGCTCCGCTCCGCTCCTTCCGGTGTCTCCTCCGCGGGGCTGACGCGGGCCTCGGTGACCTTGCTGGGCGCTGCGGGACTTATCGCGGGACGCGCCAAGCACCACGGCCACCACCTGGCGGGGCAGATGCACCCCGAGCAGCGCGAGCAGGCCGAGCAGCGCGAGAGGGTTCCCACGCAGCCTCTGCTGCAGCACCAGCCAGCGTCAGCCAGCCACCACAGCCACCCGGCGGCACGCCAGCCAGCCTCAGGCCAGCCTCCAGCCAGGCGGCCCGCCGGGGCTGGCGGACGCCTTCCTTCTTCCAGCACGCCGTGCTGCAGCAGCCAACGCTCGCGTCGCTCGCTCGGGTGCAGCCTGTCTGGCGGGGCGGGGCGGCGGGGCGGGGCGGCAGGGCGTGGCAGGGTCGGTGCTCGGGGGGCCGGCCCGACCCGCCTCGACCCGGGGCTCAACAACTGGTATCAGGACAAAGACCGCAGCGGCTGCAGCCTGTGCAGCCTGTGCAGCCTCGAAGCCATGAGAGCAGCGGACTTAGCAGCGCAGCACGGCTGGCTGTGTGCTGCACTGCATCCTGGTCGTTTGGCGCGTTTCGCCGATCGGGGGGTCGTTACCCTCCCAATGGAACGAGCAGTTACCTCGCCAGTTACCCCGCCGGGAACCACAGGGAAAGGTTAGCGCGTCCACAATGCGTTGCGTGGTGCGCGTGCTGCGCTGTGCCTGCTTCGCCTGCTCTGCCGCCGCGCTGGTGAATGTCAGGCGATACATACGTGTATGAGGAGTAAATGTTGCGATGGGTCCCGCGCGGCGCGCCGCCAAAAGGTCACGTGAATGTAGTTTTGATGTGCGCGGCAAGGTTGGCCAAGGCCCTTCCCGGGCCGCCGTGGCTAGGCTAGCTGGGCCACTGATTACCTTTGGCGAGGCGTGGCGACGCGCGTTTGCAGGGGCTTAGCAGGGTCTGTTGTGGCCCGGGCCCGGGCTTTTGGCTTCCCGGCTGGCTGGCGTGTGCGCGCCGCTTTGCCGTGCTTCGCTGTGTACGTTTGTGGAGCGCACGCATTAAATCGAGTGGCGTGAATGCAGCCTTGAATCGAAATTTCCATGATGTGGATTGGTTCGGCGTGTTCGGCAGGCGTTTCGGAATCAAGGCCATGTCGGCACGGCACCGCGTCGCGCGGTCGCGCCTCGCCGTCGCCCCAAGCCTGTCCGCCCTCGGACTTCCCTCGGCTCGGAGAAGCCTTGATGTGAAGAGGGTATGCGTGTGTAGTGTACCCTGTGTGCCGAGCGCGCGTTGCGTTTGAGCCCCAGTGTGTATGTACAGCGTTGTGCGGCCGACCAGCCAGCCAGCCAACCAATCCACGCCGCCTGCCGAGACCGCATCCGGTGAGCACGACGCGATGCTCGGCGCATCCGTCCTGTGACACACACACACACACACTTACACACACTGTTGTACACTCGCACGCATGCACACCACGAAAAGAAATGAGAAAAAGCGGGGATGTGTACGTACTATAGAAATTCATACACATGCCTTGACACACACACAAGACCCTCCGCCAGACACTCGTCCACACACTTACTCACACACATGCGCGCACACGTACCTGCCGCCTATTCACACCCACTCTCACGTCGTCAGGGACATGAGGGAAGTCTTCTCGGTGGCACTCGTCAGTCACTCGTCGTCTGCCGTGTGTGTGTGTGTGTACAGTCTGCCGCGGAGTGTGCACGTACTATTTGAAGCCCGGTGAGCGACGTGGCAACGCCGCCGTCGTCGGCAGCGTGCGTGACGGGGCGTGGTGGAGCGTGGCGGAGCGTGGCGGGCGTAAGTCCTTTTCTTGGCGTTGCTGGGGCCCGGGGGGCTCTAGGCGGCGGCTCGGCCGGTCTCCAGGCCCGCGCTCCAGCCTGTTTCCAGGCGGCCTGTACGCCGGTACAGTGGTACAGTGCTGCCCCGCACCGGCAAACGGACAAAGGGCGGGAGGCAGGAGGGCTCTGGAAGGGCGAAAGGCCGGGAGAAAGGGAGGCTGGAGCGCGGCAACCCTCGACGTCGCCGCCCCGCCGCCCCTCTGTGCCGCCGCGCGCCCCGCGCCGCCGAGACCGTTACACTGGAGCGCGCTGCGCAACCAACCCCCTGGGCGTCGCGGCGTGGCGGGGCGCGGCAAGGCGCGGCGTGTGTCTTGTCTTGGTTCCCATCCCATTGAGCGACTCGGCGACTCACGCTGTTGCCATGCGACGCGGTGCTGCGCGGTGCTTGGCTGCTCTCACGGAGAAGACGCTGCTCCTGTACAGGATGTCACCGACCTGCCTGACCTAAGCTGCCGCGGCTCTGCACAGTCCGAGCGGAAGTGATGGGACAGCTCGCCGCGCCGCGCCCAAATGTGTGCCGGTGGCTGTCACGGTCCAGTTTGTCGTGGACTCGCTGGGTGACGGCCGGTGCCATTTCGAATTTTGCCGCCAAAAACGAGGGCGCGTTCCGAGTGGCCGTGCGGGCCTTGCTGCACCTGTCCCTCGCGTACCGCGTCGCGTACCGCCGCGTCGGCAGGCCATGGCCAGGCCGTGGGCCAGGCCGAGTCAGCTGCCGCCAGGAAAGCGCGCCACCGCGTCGAGTCCGCGGCGTCCGGGTTGGTGGTCGGCGCGTGGACAGGGCGGCGGCAGACGGAAGGAAGTGAAGGTGGTCGGGCTGCACCTGGCGCCCCGCCGCCCCGCCCTGCTGCTCGTTGACGACACCTGGCCACACCTGCCGCCATGTCGACAAGACGCCGCTGCACTTGCCGTCAATTTGCCGCGGGGCCGCCATGCCGCTCCATGCCATGCCGCTTGCCGCCGGTTGTTGGTCGTGTCTGACGACGTCTGTCTGTCTGTTGCAGGTACGTGTCCCCGCCTTGGAGACCGCGGAGACCGCGGAGGCACTCGAGGGGCGACAGGGGCTACAGGCTGGGCCGCTTGCGGCTGCTGCGGCCGCAGCCCTTCGCCGCGGCCAGTGCCGCCCGGAAGCGGCGTTTGCAAGTTTTGATCCAAGGGACGGTGTGGATAAGGTAATCCGCCTGCCGCCGCGGGCGCGGGTTCAACTCCCGCCGGGTGCAAACGACTTTTTTCGGATCTGGTTTTGATCCCGCGGGACCTGCTTCCTGGATTACACACCGCACGGCAGGCGGCGGTTTGGCGCTCACATCCGCGCGGATTTGACGCTCGGCTGCGCAGCGCTGGCGGCGCGGCGGCGCGGTGCTTGCTGGTGGCGGTTCGGCCCTCTTGAGCTTTAGCTCCGCGAAGGGTGTCGTCTTGCTCGACGCGGCAGACTCGGGGCGGCTCGTCTTTCCCGCCGTCTCGTCGCCGCGTCGCCTCGGCTGGCTCGGCTGGCTCGGCGGCGGACTTGCGGACGCGGCATTTCTTTGGCGGGGCGGGCGGCGGCGCGGCGGCGCGGCGGCGAGGCAGCTCTGCGGGGCTGCCCTGTCGCCGGCCGCCCTGCCGAGTCATCTGTAAGGCGAATGTCTCCGTGGCCTTGGGCGCGGCGGGTGGCTCGCTCTCCCTCTCTTGCTCGCTCGCTGGGCTCCTTAGTAACGGTCGGATTTGTCGTAAGAAAAGCGTTCAAGTCTTCGGCGCTGCCGCAACCAGCCGGCCCGTCGCCCGGCCCGCCAACCTCCCAACGCCTTTTGAGCAACCTTTTCGAGTCGGACCAGTTTTCCTCTCCTTTCTCGGTTGCGACGTGGCCGGCGTGGCCGTGGTCATTGCAAAAGGCGGGGTGGGGCGTCGTCTCGCCGTCCACTTGTACGTGTCGCCAGTGTACTTAGCCTTTTTTTCGCCCCGTCTTTCCCACCCCCTTCGCCTTGACTCGTCGCGGCCGCGGTGGCCGGCGGTGGCCGTCGCCCCCTCCATGGGAATGGAATGGACGAATGGGTGCGGAATGAACGGTCAGTGTCGCTGTGCGAGGGAGAGAGACAGAGAGAGGAGCAAAGAAACGGGGGTGGATTTACACACCCACCTGTGTGATTGCTGAGGCTGTACTTGTATGTGCACCGGCCTGGCCGGCCGGGCCAGCCTCCCCCTCCGATTAGATGTCGCGGTGCCGCCACTGGGAAAGACTGGAAAGACGACGGCCGGGGGCGGGGCAGGCGGGGCAGAGGGCATCGCGCGGCCTCTGTCTGTGTTTGCGTCTGTGCGAAGTGTACAGTGGATTGCGGACTGCGCCGGGGCTTACAGTGGATCTGCGCCGTTGTGTGTGGGGCTGGCGTTTAAATTTAAATGCTGGGTGTTTCGCGCAGAAAAGGGGTCGCCCCGCGCACCGCCCCCGCCCTCCCTCCCTCCCGCCGCTCCCCTCACCTGCATCCGTGTTAGTCTGTGTGCTTGCGTGTCTAGGGTGTGTGTGTGTGTACCTGCTCCGGTAATGCTCCTCCCCCTAACAGGAAACGCTCTGGGCAGGGGTGGGCTGGTCCAGATCCCCCTCTTTGTCTCCCTCGCCTCCCCCACCCCTCCCGGCCATCCCTTATATTGCTTGCCAGCAGCATCCCCCGCGCCGCCCCGCGCCGCCCGGACAAGTTGGGGGAGTGTAGGGGGTGGCTGGCTGTCGGCTGGAGGGGTTGTTTTTGATGGGATGCTCGTTTGGCAGGATTAGGCTGTCGGGCGGCGAGGCGGCCGGGGTCGGGTCTGCGGTGTGGAGTACGTCAGCTGATTCGCGGCGTGGTTCTAGGCGCCCGCGACGCACCCCGCGATGCACCCCGCCTTGCTGGCTGCCGGCTTTGGGTCTGCTTTTCTGGCGGTGTACGCAGTACCCTGTTTCTCCGAGCAGTGCGTCACTCGTATATCTAACCCTCTCTATCGTCCACACATCTCTCTATCTCTCTCCGACACCCCTCCCTCCCCACTCCTTTTCCCTAGTGCGCAGCAGTAATGGCGGCACGAGGAAGGAGAGGAGGGCAGGGCGTCTAGTTTTTTCCCCGCGAGAGGGCCCTCGTCCCTTGAAAGCCTCTGCCGTGATCCTCGATGTAGTTTCCTTTGAGGGCGCTGGCTGGCTGGCTGGCTGGCTGGCTGGCTGGCTGGCTGGCGGCGCATTAGAGGGCCCAAGTCGAGGCTTCCAGCCTTTCAGCCCCACGATGAATTATCCCGCCACAATAACATTGTCAGCGCGTCCCGCAGCTATGGCGTCGCGGCGCCCTGGAGGCGGACGGCGTCGGCTCAGCGTCGACGACGACGCCGACGACGGACGACGCCGACGACGGCGTCCTGGAGGACGTGATCCTCGTGGTATCGGCGCCCCCGCCACGCCCAGAGGGGGTAGCGAGGGGAGGGCGCCCCGGCGGCCCCGGCCCGGTCGTCATGGAAACACCGGCATCCCCATCTCCTTCCCCCAGTGGATCGATGCGTGCGGCGGATGTGGCAACGCCGCGCCATGGCGGGCTTGGCCCTGGCTTGGCCCTGGCTTGGCCGCGACGCCGTCCCTGCTGGGGTTTTAAAGGGGCCGTGCTCTGCTCGGCGACGCCTGGCGACGCACTGCACTGGAAAAACGGACCATTTCCAGGCGGCGCGGCGCGCGCCTCCAGCCGGCACCGCGGCCGTCAAGGTTTAGAATTTGAAAAGGCGCCGCCGTCTCGTCTTGGTGGGTTTGCTAGTTTTCCGCCCGTAGTTTGTGTGCATCAGTTCTGTAGGTCGTTGACTCGCTGCGCCGGAAACGGTTGCACTTCCCGTGGCTCAGCCAGGCTGGGGGGCTGGTGCCTGCCGCTGCCGTTCGCCCTGGGGACCCTGGTAGTTCGCCCTCCCGGTGCCCTGTGGTGCCCTTAGTGCCCTCGCCAATGACTAGGGAGTGGAAAAAACTGGAGTTTGTGAGCCTCTTGTGCCGGTTGCCCGGCCAGGAGCCTTGTTCCGCAGTGTAGGTGAATAAAAACTGGGAACCCTTGCCGCGCTTTCCTTCCAGCTGGTTTACGGTGTGGGGTCGGCGACGGTCGGCGGGGGTGTGGTTGGGCAAACCAGCAGCCCAGGCCCTTCGGTCCCTCGGTCCACGAGGGTGCTTTTTTCTAGCTCGCCGGGTTCTAATCTCTACATTGATTTTGTCGAAGGCCCAGCCGGCTTTGGGAAACTCGGCCGGTGCAAGCGGCGCGGCGCTGCAGGCGCGGCGGGGTCGCTGGCCCCCACGGCGTTCCAAGCTTCAACCCCCCGGCCGCGCCGCGCTGCGCCGCACTGCGCGTGCACCGCGGCCGGCAATATTTTGTAATTCAAAAGCGGCGGGCCGCGTGCGGATCGCGCTGGGGTGGCGTCGGCCGCCGCTGTCACTGGTGCGTTGCAGTGTTCCCAGTGTAGTTTCCAGGGGCGGGGTGGCGTGCGGACGGACTGCAGGCGGCCAGGCGGGCCAGCAGGCAGGCCGCCGCTGCAAGCACACTGCAAGCTGCCGCGGGCTATTCCTGGCGTGGGGGCGCCGCTCCGCCCGCTCCGACACTGCCGGCGCGGAGTGTACGCGTGCTGGGTGCTTTTGGTGGCGGCTGTACGCGGAACCTGTTTTAAACGGATCCTAAAATTGTAAGGAGGGCTGCTTCGCTGCTTGGCGTTGGGCTCGGGGCTGGCTGGCTGGCTCGGTACATAGCTCGGTGCCGCGGGAGGGAAAGGAAGGGAGGGTTGCAGAGCTAAGGGCGGGCTGGGCTAGAACTGGGGTCGCCGTGCTTCGCCTCGCTGCCACGCTGTAAAGCGCCGAAAAGGGAAGGGAGCGCCCGAATGGCTGGCCCGGGTGGTGTGTCCCGAATCCAGGCTGGGACGGGGACCGCGCGGACAGGACGCTGGTGGACTTTACCGCCGCGCCCAAGCCCCGCGCAGGCCGCGGCCCTGTGAAGGGATTTAGGCCCGGGAAGGCGCAGGGCCCTGTTTCTAGGAAGCGGGAAGCGCTTCCGAGCCGCTAGCCTGCCCACCCTGCCAAGCACGCGCGCGGCCGAACCGGGCCGAACACCGCTGCCGTCCTCTGCAGGGCTGTGGAGCACGGCGACGGCGGCGCCCTCGCCCTGGGACTGCGGCGGCGTCGCTCCAACCCTCCCTCGGCTCGGACCGCGCCATTGTCGCTGGCTTTTAAAAGTGTGGCATGATGGCGCGAGAAGCGAGCAGCAAGCGGCAGTCTCCTCCTTGTGTGCTGCGTCGCTGCTTGGCGGCGTGGCGGCGAAACCAACCGCCGTCGGCAGTCGGCGTCGCCTCGCCTCGGCTTCTCGCCAGCTGTTTGCCGGAGAGGGAGCCTCGCCTCCTCGGAGGGAGCCTTCGGGGCGGGGCGGGCGAGGCGCGCCGCAGCGCCGCAGCAAGGGGAGGAGAGAGCGTCGCCGTCGTCGTCGTCGTGGGTTTCTTGCGCCGCCGCGCTCCGCCACGCCGAGGCCCTACTACCCTGTCTAAAATCGCCCTTGGGACAGCCTTTACAGTGGAGGTGTTTTGCCGCGGCCCTTGTCTAGAGAGGCACCGTTCGTTGTCATTGGCGTGGGCTTCGCCGCTCCGCTTTTTCGAAGCTGCTTGTCCTGCCGGGCCATGCGGCGAGCCATGCGGCCATTCACCACCCCCTCTGCAATGGTGATTTCTGGCCGCCACCCGCCGCCACCCCCGACCTGGACCGCCTGGACATCGTGGGACACACGTCGGGTTCGCGATGAATGTATGAGTCGGCGGGTGTCATATATATGCCGCGACATTTTAAGCAGTTTTTTTTTCGGACGCTGTTGTTGGCTCTTTTTTTTTCTGTGTGTTTTCGTCCGTCTAATGTATGGACGGTAACGGATGTCGCGTGTATTAGCATTCTGCCAGCGAGACTCATCCCGCACCAACAACGTAACCACACGGAGGAGGTGCGGGTCGGTGACCCAGCCAGCAGTTGTGTGACTGTGACACTGTTAGGCTGTGCGAGCGACGCTGCGAAGCGACTGGCTGTCAGTGCCGCTCAAGTTGCGCCTGGTAGTCCCCTGGAACCCCCTGGAACCGCAGGCATCTGGCTTGCCTCGCCACGCCAGGCCGCTGAACTTGCAGTGTGAACCTGCTGCCGCCGCTCCGCGGCTGGCTGGCCTCTCCTCTGAGCCCCAGGCTGCCT